TGTCCTTTTAATCGCATTTAAGCTCACCAACAAGGAACGAATTGAATCTACATGAAGCTCACAAAACAGCTTCGCGTTCCACGTGCAATCTTCCCGTTCCGCTCCGGTGGAATTACGTATAAGGTCACGTGACCGACACAACAGTAACAACGGTGTGTTTGCCGCTAGAGGCAAAATCGCAGGGACCCGTGTGAAGGGCTTGTTAAGGAGAAACGGAAAAGCAAGGTCCTCAAACCTGAATAGCCAGCGGTACGGCATTTACAAGATTCCATAATGTGTTCAGCCAAACATTCATAGATGCAGCCTTTGAGTGTGTAGGAACTGAAGGCTTTTAACTTCTTGTCTTCGCATTTTGTCTCATAAGGGTCCTCTAGATTTTTTAGCTGACGTAGAAAAATATCAGAGACAAAGAATCACACCATGAAACCTGTTAATCATAACTGTTAATCAATTTTCTGTGTATGTTTTACAGAAAATAAAAATGAGAAAGAAATCCAACTTAGCTTAATGGGAAACATGACATAAATATAACATACACATATCACGGGATGGTTGTGTTGCACGTATTGGATGCAAATACGTAAAGTTGAAAAGAGGATCTCCACTGTCATGCTAAAACATTCAACAGCTGATCATACATCCTGTTCATTTCATGCGCAGAAACTTTAACGTGCTACATGTAATTGGTTCTCCACGTAATTTGACATTGCCACAGCAACCTTGTTTTGGCATGCAGGTTAAGCCAAATGTTGCTCTTGGGCAGAATTCCTCGTTTTCCCCCAGTCTTGCTGAGCAGCTTTACAGGATCAATACCATTTTACATTCGGTTATGATTTATGGATCCATTCGGATTCATTTAACTCTAACCTTTAAAAAAAGTGAGAATATTTAAGTGTGGCATCATATTATGTCGTAACCAGCAAAGGACATCTTATCTTATAGAGTAAGCTGAGGTCTATCTATAAAACGCAGAACAATTTTAGGGAAGGGGGAATTACTCCCATGTATCAAGGTGGGTTATAAATTTCCGAGTACGACCGACAGCTAAGTATCTTTACTTTGGCTCACCCTCTGTTGATGCAGCGTGATTGTGGCTTGCATACCAGGTCCAACGTTAATCCCATCCCAAGGAAGAAAATGGTCTCCTTGTCGATGAATTATAACACTAAATCCCTCCGACAGTCTTCCAATTGTGTTATCATCAATCTGCGCGGTCAATAAGATGTTCAGACCCCCTCCGGCGCCTGTAAATTTAGCTTTTCTGATGCTGTCCGGTCCACCAAGCCCCGCATTAAAAGTGTGGCACACACCCCAGTCCGTCACGGATGACGAGAAATCCGATACGCCACATAGCTTATCTATTCTGCCATCAAATACACATAATCCAGATTTCAGCATTTCCTCGACTCCCGGGCTGTACTTTTCGTAAAATTTTATGGTGTCGAAAAAGGTTCCAGAGGTGTATTGTGCGGCAATCAAGGCTGCAAGGTACGGAGTTGTACAGTTTGGAACAATGTTCCCGCCATCGAACAGAAAGAAGGGTAAACAACAGCAGACCATGGCTGCTCCACAGGGCTTGTCACCACGAACTGACTTCGTAGCTGAGCAGAAGCTGTCGTTGAGACTGTACCGAACAAAATCAGCGTCGCCGTCCAAAGCATACATCTTTTTCTTGCTTATAAGATTTTGTGGGCAAATGGTGACAGCTGGGAATTCAAGACTATTGACGTACTTTTGGGTGATTACAGTGTTTATAGGACGTTTGAAGTATTTGTCTAATGATTTGTACGCAGTGAATAAGAAATATGCGGTAAATGCCAGCAGCAATAGCAACCAGCCAATCCGGGCCCAGAGGGGACGTCTCCAGAACACATAACGGATACCATGCAGTGAAGTGTTATTCACCCAATTATTCCATATTCCATAATTGCTTGGTAGAGCCGCATCTTTCCCCTCTTCATCAGCATCGTTATCTCGTTTTGGCTTGATCGGTTTCAATGAATCGAGCTCAATGTCGTTTTTTGTAATGGCGCCCTGGAAATAAAGATCTTCTGCAGGAACTGTCCCAGGCAAAGAAAAGTCCTCCAGAGTCATTTTGCCTGGAAAATAAAAGGAAACGAAAGTGTTTTTTTTTCATGGAACAAGCACCAGTATTGCCTGATTTGTTCGAGACACCTATTAGAATTTATTACATTGAGATGTTGCCAAAATTTGACTCAAAATTAAGGCGCTTGTTTGCTCTAACCGAGGAATTGTTTATCTGGAGAAGCTATTTAAACTGTAAATCGTGAGTATGAGTAAAATGTTATACTAGTACACGTTACGTAAATTTTTTTTGCTGTCTTTATAATAGGTTCACCACATAGTAAAATGTGCCACGATATATTGACTTACCTGGGTTCATTTTTGCCATAATGCTTGCTCGCAATTCCCTCCAGTTAGCGAATCAATCTAAAATGATTAATTCACACCAATTACAGTTATCCTGGTTTAATCTGAAACTGAAACAAGAACCTCTGTTTAGATGGGTGTTATGTCAAGACCTTAACGATGATTCCTAATCCGTACTGCACACTCTCGAGTGTTTTTTCCTACGTTTGTGGTTTTGTAACACGTCACAAAATGTAAAATTTCGCAACAACTTACACGAGACAACTTCAAAGTTTCGTGCCAACCGCCATTATGAATGCAAAGCTTGATGCTTCGATCTTTCTGATATCATTATGTGAAATAACTTTGAAAAACTCAAAGGAATTGCAGGAAAAAGAATTTAAAATGCCTCAAAGATTTGCAGTCCTTCGAGTGAGATCTGACAATGCGCAGTACGGGCTGGAAATCATCTTAAAGGTTGATCAAATGATCGTGATATAATTTGGGTATTAATTAATTAATTTTTGTACCCACACTGGATGTGCAGTGCTAATGGCTGCATATATTGGTTGACTATAACAGTTAATCTTAAATCTCACTGGCCCTCGAGAGACTGGCCATTTTCTAGTTTCTCCGAAGTCTCGGGGAAAGATTTATAAATATTACTAAATAACTCAACGTCAAAAAAGACAAAAACCAGGACATCTACTGTTTAATACAAGGCTATATAAAAGCTCAATTATGATGATTGCGAGTACGCTGCACTTCGCTACGTTTCCGGTAAAACGTTAATCTTCCACGCAGACGCTGTTTGGCTCGTCACGTTCTTTTCCTCACGAATGTAGACAACTAAATCACGAAATTATACCAAAATCATCAGTTTATCACTCTTGATAGTTGGTTCATCGTTTGGTGCCATCAACTATCAGCTCCTAGAAAACTAAGGCTCGTAATCCAATGTTACTCTTCAACGGATCAACAACATTATAACTATCTTTGATCTTAATGCATGCACGTGTTGAATTTACTTTAAATTAAATAAACCTTAGACAGGTGTCAGTAAACTCCAATGATTCTCTTCCATTTTTAATTAAAAATAAAAACTCAAATACTGCTACAGACCACAGTAAATACTAAAGTAGGAAGTAATTAATCCAGCCTAGTAGTCAAACTCATACAAAAACGGCCATAATTACAAAAGTGACATTATATGGTTTGAACAAATTTCATCACGATCTCCTTTTTGCTAGTTAGATATGAAAGTGATCTGACGTGAATAAATAAAACAGGTGACTCAGTTTATACTGACGTAAGGTGCTTGTTCTGAATTGCTCATGGTAACATGTTGATCGTTGAATAAGACGTAAAATCATTTAAAGTGTGCATTTTATAAGGCTGGAATGGAAAGTGTTGTCTTCTACACTTCGTCTCTTAAATATGTTGCGTCTTGTAACCATGGCTCAGTAGAGCTAGCTTCCGATTAGGGTTCCTTCGCTATCTTACAGCTTTAAAATTTACGGCTTAGAGACTACCCAAGCACAGTTTTAATGACAACAACAACCGCAAATATCAACTCACATGCACAACCTGTGCAAACTGCTCTCCTGGAGTGACCTAAGTCCATATACGATAGCCTCCTTACATCGGGGAGTCCTTATAATCCACATAACGCCTTGTTTGAATGACAAAAAATCAGAATGGTTCCAAAACGTTCGCCGTTTCTTTGAAGAGATTCGACACGCAAGGTAAATCAAGCCCAATTACATTAGCATCTTGTTATTTTCAACACGCAATACGCATGAAACTGTGGCACAAGATGAAATCGACATTCTTTCGTTACTCACCTTAGAAGGACAGGCAACCACACAAGGAAGGAGAAAAACTTGTCAGGGCTTAGCGTTTAAACTTTTTTCGAGGTTGTACTACAAATATCTTACAACTCGATGTCGTTTCAATACTATAATATATGTGGTAATCTGTGTCAGTTTGACTTTCCTATTTCCTACGTGACGTAATACGTTAATGATTGTGCCGCTTCATCGATTTGTTTTGTTCTTTTTCCGTTTTAAATATTCACATCATGGACATTTCTAAACAAAACCCTTCTTTTTTTATGTCACTGCGTATGATACACCGTACACTCTATGTACAACAAGAAACTACTACGTAAGGAACGTCCCTTCAAGTTGAGAGACTAAACTAAGTGGAACGTTGTACGACTTAGTTGATATTAATATGTTGGGATAAAAATCGTATAAAAATGTTACAATATTCTTCCACGAATGCTTGGAATTTCTTCAAAGAAACGCTGAAAAGGACCTACAAGCTTTGTTAATATGACGAGGGATCAATAATCATCACCTTTACGTAATTTAAAACTTCCTACGATTGATGGATCTGATGCCGATATGGACCGCTGGCACTAAAACTAACAACTGCAAATCATGATAAATTATTTCAAATACTAGTAGTTATCAAAGATCATGATTGCGTTCGACACTGTCACTTTCATATATATACCTTAAATGATTTAACTAGCTGACTTTCAACATTTTTCATGAACAACCGAGGTTTTACACAGACAGATATATCATAGTGCCAAAGTCCATGCCAGTGAAGAGGTCCCCTGTATAGACTACGATGGCCGATTTGTTGTTCAAAACGTTGCGTGACGGCGCCAGTTTCCGTAGACTGGCAAAAATACTACGCCTTAAAAATTTCATGTTTTGACGTAAACTCAGCGTGAATTAAAAATGTAAATAAAAAAACAAGTTTGAACTCTGGCCTGTAAGCAATTTTAAAGCTCCCATTCGATTTGCGTTCATGAAAATCTTGTTTGCCCAAAAGGAAATTCGTTTTGGTTTGTGGCACAATTTCATAATTCAGGCTCTGCGTCTATGCCAAGTTTTTTTTTTTGTTATTTTCAATTTACTTTCAATGACCTGAGACTAAAGGGGACCAGAACAACATAATCATTTACATTCATGTAAAATAAATAAACTGTTATTCACTAGGCCGTTTAACTAGCTGAACATTCTTTCTAGGTGTTTGATTACATACCAACATTCTCTAGTTAAATGTGCGGCTTCTGTTTCCACTCTTTTAGCCCGCTATAACGAGCTAGACAACTCGGTAAGATGGTTCTATAACCACGAATCATGGCCATCTGCCGAGCTACACAACTCGGTAAGTTAAAGTAATATAATTTGCGCACAGAAATCAAAGCCAGCAAAGGGAAACGACACATTTCCTCCATCGATTTATTCCGCACAACGCAGTGTTGGTTTTTGACAACAGGGAGCCGAACTGCACCTTTGTCAAGTTGTCCCAAAAGTCGTACACATTTCGTGAAAACACTGATAAATTTTAGCTACAAGGTCATTTAACGCCATAACTCTAACTTCAAACTTCAAATACGCAACTTGCCGGTAACAGCAGATAAACACATGGAGACGCGACTAGCATGGACATGACGTCGTTCGCTCCTGAAGAATTTTTTGGGGGGGCCAAATTGGTGTCCCCCGATAGATAGATAGATAGATAGATAGATAGATAGATAGATAGATACACAGGTCTCCAATTTTTATGCGTTACGCGATTAGAACTACGTTCTGGCGAACACAATAAACGATAAGGGAAAACACGGTGACTCCGACTCTCCCCCGACAGTCTCTATCCCTGTTCGAGCATGTCCGAGCTAACAAAAAACCTCAGGTCCCTCATAACATTTCAGTCTAAGTCCTTTTTTGCGAGGCAAATTTCAGATAAAGTAACTTACAAGCCTTAAAATGTACAAAGAAAGGAAAGGCCGCTGTCCTGACTGACTGCGTGGCGTTTTAGGGGCGCCAACGATACTTAAGATCGGAGCAGATACAAAAGGTACGCTTTACACTGTACTACTTGAGGTACCAACTCTCTGAAGAAACCACTTAACGTCCTACAGACTCCCGGTCGGGCGTCTAATCAGCACATAGCTTCATAAAAAGTAGAAACTTTTTTTTTGCGAGTTTTGGAAATCACGCCACCAGCGTTACTTTGTAATGTTTTTTGGGTGTCCCACTACTGTATGTACTGTACTGTTTATTTATTTATTTATAATTATAATCTTGTAAATTCTTTTAGTTGTTTACAGTAGTAGAAAT